AAAAAAAAAAAAAGAAAGAAATGGCTTTAAGTTGTAAACCAAACTAAAATTCTAATCTCCCCAACCAACTGAATGGACACCCTCCTCTCAGCCAAGGGCCAAACCGGAAGCACTAGTTTAGGCCATGATGGGAATGAGTGGTCTATATGAGTGGTCTAGATGTGCCTCATTGGACCTTCCTAACTTTGGAATGTGGACACAGCTGACCAGCATTAATATTAAAACAGAAACCTTAAGACTGACAAAAAGATGCTTTGTAGCACTAAGATACCAACATGATAGCTAGCAGGCCCTAAAATAAATCAAAGTATTTTACCCCAAAATACATTTCTTTGACATATTTTGAAATTACCCAATATATGTCTTGACTGATGCCTTATGTCTCCCTAAAATGTATAAAACCAAGCTGCATCCTGACCAGGGGTTCTCAGGATCTCCTGGGGCTGTGTCACAGGCCATTGGTCACTCATATTTGGCTCAGACTAAATCTCTTCAAGTATTTTACTGACTTTGGCTCCTTTCGTTGGCAAAGCAATATGGTCATTTGTGAATGAAGCGAGCTACAGGAATGTTGCCTAGCGCGTAATATAGTGCTGCACGTGGGCCTCACTGCAGGGCAGTCTGATTTGATTCGCTAGTGTTCCTCAAGGCCAGATGATGCACAGACTGGTTTTAAAGGAAAAAAACATCTCGGACACCTTTAGCTTAAGTTATTTTTATAATGTCAACTACATACAGGCAAACCTAAAACTGCATATGGATTCTACCTGACTATATAGCTCTTTCAAAAATATAAATCCAAAATACATGTACATGTCTCTGTTCCAACACCACCTATCTGACACTTAACTCGTTGTCTAATGATTCAGTTCATTTCTGACACCAACTACCCGAGGTTAGCATAGACCCCACAGATTGAAGGCTCAGTCCCACAGAACTGCTGCCCTCACTTCAAACGCCAGCCACAAGTCCTGGGTGCCAAGGTCACCTGTACTTCCATTTGATTTGGCTACAAATTCAGGAGTTCCCCTGACCTCCCTTTAGATTTGATAATTTGCCCAAATGACTCACAGAACTCAGGAAAGTGTTATGCTGATGATGACCATCTTATTATAAAGGAATGGATAGACAGCCATTGAAGAGGTGCACAGGACAAGATCTGGAAGGGTCCAGAATGCAGGAGCGTCTGTCACTGGGGAGTCAGGTGTACCACCCTCTCAGTACATCCATCTGTTCACCAATTTGGGAGCTCCCCAAGCCTTGGTGTTCACAGTCTGCATTATGTAGGTGTGATTGATTAAATTACGGGCTGCAGAATTGAATGTAGTCTCCAGCCCACTCCCCTCCTTGGACAGAGGTCAAAGGGAGAGCTGGAAGTTCCAACTATCTGATCATGTGGTTAGTTTTTCCAGGGACCAGTCCTCATCCTGAAGCTATCCACACCTTGCCCTGGTCACCTCACAAGTATAAACTCATATATGGCCCCTAAAAAGGACCTGTTAGGACTAACAAAAGACCCTCCTATTGTTCAGGAAACAATAGTTTTGTTTCCTATTGTTTCAGTAGTTTCGTTTTTTCAGGAAATTACACAGCTTTTTAAAGCTCTGCTCCAGGAACTAGAGACAAAGACTGGATATATGTATTTTTTATTACATCATTGATCTTACATACAAACAAAACTCCTACAGACAATAAAAACAAAGTAATAACCTGGCAGACAGATGGTGGTTAATTGAAACTCAGTCCCCAGTTCCAGGGCGAACATGTTGCTGGCTGAGACGGCTCTTTGGAGGTCGATGAATTCTGTGATAACTCACTTTCTCTCCTGACTCTTCCATGTCATCTACCAAGAAACATTCATGTCACAGTGTCCTCTCAGGTCATTCCATTTTTACTTGGTGTGAACACTGAAGAGAGGACACAGACAGGCCACCCACAGCATCCACCACAGATGGCCAGAGAAGGCCTTCCTGAGAAGGTGGCATTTGAGTAAAGACCCAAGGGAGATGTGGTAAGCAGCATAATGGCCCCAAAGATGTCTACATCCTAATCCCAGATATGTGAACAGACTAACCCCTATAACAAAGGGGCTTGTGGGTATGATGAAATTGAAGATCTTGGCCAGTCGCAGTGGCTCATACCTGTAATCCCAGCACTTTGGGAGGCCGAGGCAGGTGGATCACCTGAGGTCAGGAGTTCAAAACCAGCCTAGCCCACATGGTAAAACCCCGTCTCTACTAAAAATACAAAAATTAGCCAGGTGCGGTGGTGTATACCTGTAGTCCCAGATACTTGGGAGGCTGAAGCAGGAGAATTACTTGAACCCGAGAGGCGGAGGTTGCAGTGAGCCAAGATTGTGCCACTGCACGCCAGCCTGGGCTAGAGAACAAGACTCTGTCTCAAAAAAAAAAGAAAGAAAGAAAGAGGCAGGAGACTCAGAGGCAGAAAAGGAGCTCTGACAGCAGCAGCAGAGGTCAGAGAGTGAGGATGAAGGAGGGGGCCATGAGCCAAGGAATGCAAGCGGCCTCTAGAAGCTAGGAAAGGCAAAGACATAGGTCTACCCCTAGAGCCTCCAGAGGACTGCAGTCCTGCTAACACCTAATCTTTTTTATCCCAGTGAAACCCATTTTAGACTTCTGACCTCCAGAACTATTAATAGAACATATTTGTATTGTTTTATGGCACTAACTTTGTCATAATTTGTTACGGGTAGCAGTGGGAAACAAACACAGAGTGAGGGAGCAAATCACACAGACATAGCAGGGGAGGGAGTTCCACATGCTGGGTTCAGCAAGTGCAGAGGCCCTGAGGCAGGATGTGCATGGCATGGCACAGCAGGAGTGAGCTGAACGAGGGAAGAATAGTAACAGTTCGGGTCAGAGAGGATGGAGGAGGCAGAACTTGGAAGCCGTTGCAAGAAATGGCCCTCAGAGGGTTTTGAGCAGATTTCTCACTGTGATCTGAGTTAGGATTTAAAGGGAACATCCACATGCCTTGAAGTGTAAGCCAGGTGACCCTGGGCTGATTACTGCAGTCACCCAGTGGGGAGGCGGTGTGGCTCGTTACAGAGAGATAACGGGAGGAACTATAGGAGACTGAGGTTAGACATCACCAATCTTTTCACAGGGTTATTTCTCTTTTTCTGTTAAAGAGTATAGTGATCAGATATTACCAGCCCGGTTGCTCAGTACAGCCATCTGCTTGTGAGGTTTCTTACTTTCGGTTTAAAATATCTCCACAATTGAATCCAGAGACAGACAGGTTTGTCCAAGGCCAAATTTTGAAGACACGACCTGATCTCTCCTTCCCAAGATGGGTTGATCTCGCCCATCTTTCATGAAGAAGATAGTTAACAGCAGTAACATTCAATCACTGCTTCTCCTTTTTTAAGTTGGAACATTGACGGGATTCATCTCTTTTCAAATATGAATTTTGAAGACATGACCTGCTATATTTAAAAATAGCATGCATGTATAATTGTCATGACCCCAAGTGAGATTTTATTTTATTTTATTTTTTTGAGATGGAGTTTTGTTCTTGTTGCCCAGGCTGGAGTGCAATGGCATGGTCTCAGCTCACCACACCTCCGCCTCCTGGGTTCAAATGATTCTCTTGCCTCAGCCTACTTAGCCACCACACCCAGCTAATTTTTTGTATTTTTAGTAGAGATGGGGTTTCTCCATGTTGGTCAGGTTGGTCTCGAACTCCTGACCCCAGGTGATCCACCCACCTCAGCCTCCCAAAGTGCTGGCATTACAGGTGTGAACCACCATGTCCAGCCAAGATTTGTATTTTTTAGATTATCCTCAAACCGAAAACAAAAAGTTTAAGTTCTCCTAAAGAATTCTTAGACTCTGCCAGGTACGGTGGCGCACGCCTCTGATCCTAGCACTTTGGGAGGCTGAGGTGGGCAGATCACAAGGTCAGGAGTTCAAGACCAGCCTGACCAGCATGGTGAAACCCTGTCTCTACTAAAAATACAAAAAATTAACCGGGCATGGTGGTGCACGCCTATAATCCCAGCTACTTGGTCGGCTGAGGCAGGAGAATTGCTTGAACCCGGAAGTCAGAGGTTGCAGTGAGCCAAGATCACACCATTGCACTCCAGCCTGGGTGACAGAGCAAGACTCCATCTCAAAAAGTGAAAAAAGAAAAAAAAGAATTCTCAGACTTATGAGAATACCCCAAATTGAGGAATATTATCCTAGCATATTAACTACAATTTATTCAATTTGGTTTTTAGGATGTCCTATTACATAGTTGACATAGAGTGCTTCGTAGCTATTACATGAAAGTTGGGTAGGTACATGAGTCAGAATCTCAGTATTATGCCATTGCTTCACCAATGAAATCATTTTGGTTTACAGTACCCTTTTCAAGAATGTAAACTCTATACATGTCAGAATTGTGTATATTAAAGGTGTGCCTCTGTGGCTAGATCTGATTCTAGAACTGTCATTGAGATGACAATCCAATTCTTCACACTCTCTTAATGGGGGTGAGAGTGGATTCTGGAACCATGTGCTTTCTAGCAGTGCAAGAGTTTTTACTGAACTTCTTTCTATTCATGCCTTAACTTTCTAGAAGACTTCTAGAGTACATAATCCATTTTTATCTCTTTTTCTCCTCTCTACCTGTTTTTGCCTGAGGCTGTAGTTCCAGGATTAATACTAAGGAAGACCTTTCTTAAAGTGCAAGGGAGCCTTAGTGATAGAAGAGAGCCGAATGATTTCTCAGCCCGGGCACACTTCAGGAAAATAACTAGGATCAGAAAGTTGAAATTGTCCACAAGGAATTTTGATGAGAAACTAAGGGGAACTGTTAATAGCAAGGCAAGTTCTGCAGAGCCCTGATTTGGGGCCCTGGCGTGGCTAAAGTCCAGGCTCACAGTGACCCCAGTCGGCTGTTTTCAGGCAAACTTTCCCTCCCCACTGCTTCCTCCCTCACAGTGCATGCTAACTAGTGTGGCCACCGAAGCTGGAGATGTGTCTCACGTGACTGAGAGACGGAACTCTTAATTCTATTTAATTTTGATCATTTAAATTCAGCCAAGTACAGCCAGTGGCTACTGTATTGGACAGTGCAGTTATAGAACATAAACTGAAGGAAATTTTACTTTTAAAAGCTAAGTCTATTGTATTGTTTAAAAAATGCTCACTTGGATTATTCTCTAGTCTTTGGTGTATTTCACAATATAAAACTGTTTTATCAAACCTTTGGTTTTTTGATTGCCTTCTAACACCAGACCAATGTACATTTATTTCCATCTGCAATTGTTTATTGCATTTTTTTTAAATAAAGTCATTTTTCATCAACAGATTCAGAATCAGCAGAATCTGCCAAAGTAGGAGGAATAATTACTCTGTTTTTGATAGTATTGGTCTTGATAAGCACCTTAGTGACACTGAAACGGATTGGTTATATATGCTTGAAAAACAGCCTCCCCAAAGCCTTGGTAGGTAGTTGGTTGTTGTTTTTTTGGGGTTTTTTGTTTGTTTGTTTATTTTTTTGGTAATTTCTACCTTTGCTTTTAATTTTAACTTAAAAATTTTTATTTATAAAGTATTTTTCACAGAAGAAAATCTCATTTTCTGTAAACACCAAAATGCTTTCTCACTTTGAGTTCTTTTCCATTCCTATAAATAATATATTGTACAGTTATAAGTGTATCTGTGCATGTTATATTTTCTCTTTTTTTTTTTTTTTTTTTTTTTTTTTTTTTTTTTTTTTTTTTTTTGAGACAGAGTCTCATTCTGTAGCCCAGGCTGGAGCGGAGCGGCATGACCTCAGCTCACTGTAACCTCTGCCTCCTAGGCTCAAGCAATTCTCATGCCTCAGCCTCTCAGGTAGCTGGGACTGTAGGCATGAGCCACCACACCTGGCTAATTTTTGCATTTTTAGTAGAGATGGGGTTTCGCTATGTTGGCAAGGCTGGTCATGAACTCCTGACCTCAAGTGATCCACCTGCCTCGGCCTCCCCAAGTGCTGGGATTACAGGCATGAGCCACTGCTCCCAGCAATGTTATATGTATATACTTCATCACTTATAATTTATAATGATTAGGTAGAATTTCATTATTATTATTGTACCATTTTTCATTTAACCATTTCTCAGCTATAGGGCATTCGGATTTTTTTTTTTTTCCTTTTCCTTTCTTTTCTTTCTTTGGCCATGATGAATAGTACAATAAATATGTTTATATGTATCATCTTTTTATTTTGGATTACATCAGTGGAAGATATACACAAAGTGGATTTATCCTGTAAAAAGATATAAAAAGGGCTGTGCGTGGTGGCTGATGCCTGTAATCCAGCACTTTAAGAGACTGAAGCAGGTGGATTATTTGCGCCCAGGAGTTTGAGACCAGCCTGGGCAATGTAGGGATTAGCCAGGTGTGGTGGCACATACCTGTGATCTCAGCTACTCAGGAGGATGTACTTGGAAGGATTGTTTGAGCCCAGGAGATGGAGGCTGCAGTGAGCTGTGACCGCACCACTGCACTCCAGCCTCAGTGACAGAGTGAGACCCTATCTCTAAAAGTATATAAATAACTTAAAATATAAAGGAGCTTCCCTCTGACTGTTCATGTGTAAAAAATAAAAATAAAGAAAAAAATATATATATAAAGAAGCAGCCGGAAGAGGAAATCAAGAGGAGTAAGTCAGAACAGTCTCTGTGGCTGGCAGCCTGCCTGGTTTGAAAGCCAGCTGCCCCCACTCACCAGTCACAAACCTTGAGCAAGTTTCTTAACCTCTGCACCTCCTTTTCTCATCTGTAAAGTGGGCATAAGAATAGTAAGCCCACTTCATAGAGCAGTTGTGAGAGAAAAGTGAATTATATATAAAGCACCAAGAGTCATGCCCAGCAAATAGTAAGCACGGTGTAACTGTTAGCTGCAATTATTGCTGTCTTCATCATCATCTGCATCCGAATCATCGTGCAGTCAATCTCACTAAGTTTATTTGTTTATTTTTTTAGCGGCAAGATCTCGCTAAGGGCTGGAGTGCAGTGGCCATTCACAGGCGTGATCACAATGCACTACAGCCTCAAACCCCTGAGCTCAAACAGCCGTCCTGCCTAAGCCTCCCCAGTAGCTGGGATTACAGGCGTGTGTCTCTGTGCCCCAGTGATTAAGTTTTATTATGTAAAAAGGAGCTGATATGGACTCTTTTTTTTTTTTTTTTTTTTAAAGAATTTTCGTAACTTTTTCACCTGGCCATTTCCTGAGCTGCCGCCGTTGGAAGCCATGGATATGGTGGAGGTCATTTACATCAACAGAAAGAAGAAAGTGTGGGATTATAATTATGATGATGAAAGCGACAGTGAGACCGAGGCAGCCCCCAGGACAAGCGGCGGTGGCTATACCATGCACGGACTGACCCTCAGGGCTCTAGGTCAGCCCTCTGCCACCTCCGCAGAATCCCAGTTTGTAGACCCAGACTCTGAGGAGGAGCCTAAGCTGCCTGAGGTTGATGCAGAGCCCCCCACGATGCCAACGTGCAGCCCCCAGCAGTTGGAACACTTGAGTGGGCTCTGTGAGAGGAGAGAGAGTCCACTCCAGGACCCCTTTCCCGAAGAGGACTACAGCTCCACAAAGGGGCCTGGGGGCAGAATTACCTTCAATGTGGATTTAAACTCTGTGTTTTTGAGGGTTCTTGATGACGAGGACAGTGATGACTTGGAAGAAGCCCCTCTGATGATATCATCTCATCCGGAAGAGATGGTTGACCCAGAGGATCCTGACAATATGGAATCAAGCCATGTGCTGGCCAGTGGGGAAGGGACACAGCCAGCCTTTCCCAGTCCCTCTTCAGAGGGCCTGTGCCCTGAAGATGCTTCCTCTGATCAAAGTGACACTTCTGAGTCAGATGCTGACCTTGGGGATGGTTATATAATGAGATGACTCCAAAACTATGTAATGAACTTGAACAGACTAGCACCTAGAGGGTTCTCTCTCCTTGTCCCCTCACTCGCTGCTTTATGGTCTGCGAGTGTTCTCCAAGAGAAGGAGTAGGAAACTGTAGAGTGCCCCATTCTTCCAGGTGACATCACCTATGCAGCTTCCCAGTATGGGGAGCATAGTACAATTCAGTGTGTTGTTTACATATTCAAGGTGATGCACTTTGAAGGAAACATGTGTGCTCCTCCCTTTGCACTAATGTACTTAGGATGTCTCTACATCATGTTTCCCAGGGAGCAGGGTTCCCAGTGGTTTCAGAGGTGGTCCAGGGCCCTGCTACTACTTTTTTTTTATTATTTTTTGAGACACAGTATCCTTCTGTCACCCAAGCTGGAATGTAATGGCATGATCTCAGGTCACTGCAACCTCTGCCTCCTGGGTTCAAGCAATTCTCCTGCCTCAGCCTCCCTCATAAGTAGCTGGGATTACAGGCACCTGCCACCATGCCCAGCAAATTTTTGTATTTATAGTAGAGACGGGAGTTCACCATGTTGGCCAGGCTGATCTTGAACTCCTGACTTCAGGTGATCTGCCCACCTCCACCTCCCAAAGTGCTGGGATTACTGGCGTCAACCACTGTGCTTGGCCACCCCTATGATTTTTCTGGGAAATAAATTGGGCCAGGGTGGGAGCAGGGAAAGAAAAGGAAAATACTTAGCAAGAGCTTCAAAGATGGCAGGAAAGAAGGAGGAGGGACCAGTAAGCACCTGGAGAGAAGGAGGGCAACCTGCACAAGGAAACAGGGAAGAGCCATCCAAGCTTCAGTCAGTGAGCCTTAGGCGCCTCATCCATGTCACATTCTGTCTCCTTCACTCAAGAGTTCCACCTTGTCCAGCCCTCCCCAATTAAAGTGGGAAAGATAGACTCTAGGATTAAACAAGTGATGACGACAGAGGGGAAACATGGCCTCGGGGAGAGGGATAAAAATCTGAGTGCCATATTTTAAGATTAAAAAAAGCAAACACAAAGGTGTTTCAAAGTCTTCAGGAGAAATATGGCATACAAGTTTCAGAGACCCTATCTGACAATTTTCAGAGTGCTCTCTGTGCTGATTCCGAATCGAATGCACTACATGTGATTACAGTTCCTGTGAATCTGGGTGGGGTGGGGGGGGAAGGAAGTCTGATCAGGGGCAATTGCTCCTGCCTCTAATCCTAACACTTTGAGAGGCCTAAGCAGGTGGATCCCTTGAGGCCAGGAATTCAAGGTCAGCCTGGGCAACATGGCAAAAGTCTGTCTCTACGAAAAGTAAAAAAATTGGCATGGTGGCATGTGCCTATAGTCCCAACTACTTGGGAGGCTGAGGTGGGAGAACGGCTTGAGCCCAGGAGGTAAAAGTTGCCGTGAGCCAAGGTCGTGCCACTGCACTCCAGCTTGGGTAACAGAGCCCGACCCTGTCTTAAAGAAAAGGTGGGGGGGAGGGGGGGCGGGGAGGGGAAGGAGGGAATTTCTAGAGTGTCATGTAGCAAACAGTTTAAGGACTGGGACTCAGGAATCCAACTCCCAGAATTTCCCTGTGTGACCCTAGGCATTTGACTCAGCCTCTCTAAGCCTCGGTTTTCTTGTTTCTGAAATAAAGAGATTGGACTAGTTAATTTCCAAGATCCTATGAATCCAGCAGAAAGATGACAAAATGTGCAAGAATAAACACTCAGGTGGAAATGCTGCAACCCTGAGAGGCTCCCAGGATGAATGAAAGGCATAGGACCCTCTTGCCCTCACCCTCCCAAAAGCCAGTTTCTCAAACCTTTCTTGTAGCCCCTTCAAAAAGGAAAAACTTGAATTATACAAGTCATAGTTCAAGGACTTTGAATAGATTATTTGTATGATTGCTCAAAAGTAACTCAAAAGGATAGGGCTGTGACAAGGGAACCTCTTAGGAAAGAGACCTTTTGTATATGTAATCAGTTTCTCTGCCTTCTGAATGCATCTCATTCGGAAAGATTTCTGGGTTCATCTTTTGAGATAACCTCTATGGCTGCGTGTGTGTGTCTGTGTGTGTGTGTATTTTTTTAATTTTGTATAGTGATTGGAGATTGGTAAAGAATAATACAGTACATTTTAATACAAACTTTGTGTGTTCTTGTTTTCCATTGGAGAGTGTATTTGTGCCACAGATTGGTGCATCTGCTGGCTTCCCTAGGATTGCACTAACTCCTTCTAGCTCTATTTGGTGGCCTGCAGAGGCCTAGGGCGCATTCACCTCCCTCTGCTCGACTTCACGTAGTGTCCTAGCGCCAGACATCAGGCGGTGCTGTACATTACCCAAGACGTTGGACAGCTCTGGAATTTCCCATCTCACCACTCATCAAGTTAAAAAGGGGAAATTGACGCCTTCTCAGCAGTCACTGAAAGAAATTTGCGTAATAAATGACTTGGCTCTGTGTTATTTATCCCTGGGGAGGAGAAGGGTAAAGAAGACCCTCTCAAACTGGATTTGCTGATGGAGTGCTTTTAACTCACCTGTGCGGAGAGAGGGCATTAAGAGAGGGCGTGCCTGTGCTTGGGACAAAACCTAGAAAATACTGAAAGCCACTGTCACCACCGTCATTCCAGCATCCAAATGTCAGTCCTGGCCTGGCGTTGTAGGGTGTTCATTTGACTTGACGGCGCCTTTCAAAGCTTTCGCCTCCTCCTGTGCACCTGCCAAGCGCAGGAGCCTCGCGGGCGGACCCGGGCCATGGGGTGGGGCCTGCAGCGGGAGAGGAGCCCAGTCGCCCGGCCCCGCCCCGCCCCGCCGGTTCCCGGAAGCGACAGAGGAGAAGCGCTCCCGGGCGCAGGCGGGGGTCGTGTGCCTGGCGGAGGCCGCGGCACCCCCAGGGCCCGCCCGGGCAGCCGGCGCGGCCATGGCGCGGAGCCTCGGGAGCTGGCTGGGCGGCTGCCTGCTGGTGTCAGGTGAGGGGTCCGCGGGGAGGGGACGAGCTTGGGAACCGGGAGGCCCCGCCAGATGCCACCCTTGATCCCACCCCTGGGCGCCCTGAAAGTGACTAAGTGCCCAGTAGGGCCATCGGGGCCTCGGGACCGGAGATGCAAACGCCGCGGCCGGGGTGCTGAGAGGGGGCTGGGCTGCCGCTGCCGTCGGTTCTGTAACAGGAGGAAGCCCTGCCCGCACCAGATTACCGACGGTCTGGGCCCTAAACTCAAGGGGAGACTCCCGGCGTCTTTTGACTCCCTCTCCTCCTCCTGCATCTGTCTGCCGGCGGGCGTCTAAGTAAAGTAGCTTCCTCAAAAGACCCAAGATCCCACCGTGGCTGTCATCTGGCCCTCTGGAGACCATCAGGTCAAGTGGAGGCCCCCGGAAGCCCCCAGCGCTCTGACAGCCGGACCCCAAGTCTCTGCCCCCCTCAGTGCCAGCTCTCCCTACAGATACGCCCCCATCACCCGCTGCACTTCCCCTCCTTCCGGGTCAGGCCTCAGCGCCCTGAAATCTGGATTCTGCCCCGCAGTGCCCCAGCTCCGTAGCTTCTAAATCTAATTCATTGAAACCTTTTTGAGACAGTCTCGCTCTGTCGCCAGGCTGGAGTGCAGTGGCACGATCTCGGCTCACTGCAACCTCCGTCTCCCGGGTTCAAGCGATTCTCCTGCCTCAGCCTCCCAAGTAGCTGGGATTACTGGCGCCCACCACTACACTCAGCTAATTCTTGTATTTTAGTAGAGACGGGGCTTCACCATGTTGGCCAGGATGATCTCCATCTCTTGACCTCGTGATCTGCCCGCCTCAGCCTCCCAAAATGCTGGGATTACAGGCGTGAGCCACCGCGTCTGGCGCTGTCCTCCTCTTAATTTACTGCCTAGGTTCCAATAACACGATGGTCACCGCCTTCCCTTCTCGTGAACTCTTGGCTGGCCTTCCAGGATACCGCTCCGGTTTCCCACCTACCCCTCAGGCTTTCTCGGCTTGGGACCCTCCTGTTCTGGCATGTCTCTGTGTAGCTAATTTCGGTGCCCGAGGCCTCTTCTCTCCTTCCCCAACACTGTTCCTTTGGGGGATTTCAGCCAAAGCCTGGCATTAAGCATGGGCTATAGGCCCATAACTCGAACATTTATATCTCTCTCGATACCAGTTGTGGGGTGGATGGTGGTTTATTATATTATTCTACTTTTCTATTTGCATGTAGGTTTCCAATCTTCTTCTTCTTCTTCTTCTCCTTCTCCTTCTCCTTCTTCTTCTTCTCCTTCTTCTTCTTTTTTTTTTTTTTTTTTTTTTTTTTTTTTTTTTTTTTTTTTTTTTTTGAGATGGAGTTTCACTGTATTGACCAGACTGGAGTGCAATGGTGCAGTCTCGGCTCACTGCAACCTCCACCTCCCAGATTCAAGCGAGTCTCCAGCCTTAGCCTCCGGAGTAGCTGGGATTACAGGCGGGCGCCAGTGCGCCCGGCTAATTTTTGTATTTTTAGTAGAGATGGGGTTTCGCAGTATTGGTCAGCCTGGTCTCAAACTCCTGACCTCAGGTGATTCACCCACCTCAGACTTCCAAAGTGAGGGATTACAGGTGGGAGTGACCACACCTGGCCAGGTTTTGAATTTTCTATTAAAAGGTCTAAAAATAATTTCTGTCTCTAGCCCAAATCTGTTCTGGGTGTGACCTCTGGGCTCATGCATCCTGCTGTCTCCCTGACATTCCTACTTCAGCCTCTCTCCAGCATCTCCAACCTAATGCAGCTCAGATGGGACTCGTGAGTTCCCCAGCTGAGCTCCAATCGGGGCACCGGTGCTTAAGCCCAAAATGCACATTAGCCTCAGCTTTTTATGCATCAAATGTATCAGGAAGTCTCCAGTTTGTTTTTATCTCTGGAAATATATCTGAAATCCACCTACCCCACCCTATCCCCCATAGCTTTCTGCCACCACACAAATCCAGGCTCCTTTACATGTCCCCACTTTACTCCTGCCCCTACAGAAATTTCTCCTCATGGCTCCTCAAAGAAAATCTAGACTCCAGCAGAGCCAACCTGTCTCTCCCTCCCTCATCCACGAGGCCTTTGAAGACATGGAGCCACAGAGGAGATTCAAGTGCTGGATGTGGGCTTTTTCATGAGCAACCGTTTTGAGGAAAAGGGCTGTAAATGCTTTTCTCTTATTTTCTTAGCATTGGGAATGGTGCCACCTCCTGAAAATGTCAGAATGAATTCTGTTAATTTCAAGAACATTCTACAGTGGGAGTCACCTGCTTTTACCAAAGGGAACCTGACTTTCACAGCTCAGTTCCAAAGGTGGGTCTGACCTCACTCTTGGCAGGAATGCATGGGAGGAGCCGGCCCTGGGCTGGTCACTGGGCTGGGCCACAGGAGGAAGGGAGTCTGACTGCTGTCACCATATGACTGTGACAGCTTTCAGGGAGCCTCCCTGCTGGCCTTTTTCTGTCTGGGAAATTCTTGTGGCCACCTTTTCTCTTTTAGGTTTTCTGGTTGTGATGGTTGATGATTTGACTGTTGCTTATCATGCATATGTAGATATAATCAGCCATAGTGGTCACCTTGTATGTACAGAACCCAGCTTGGTTGTCACAGCTGGTATATTTTAAAAGAAAAATACTACTGCTGTCATCTCCGGGTATGAGTAGTATTTCTAGAAGTCAACAATGTTGAGTGGATGCTAACCAAGAAACTGAGGTATGCAAAGCAGTCAGGAAGCCCCTGGCTACCATACACTGCCTGTTTCCCCCCGATGGGTTAGAACAGCAGCAGCACGCCCCAGTATTGCGCGATGCACATACTTTGCATAGTGAACACTCAGTTCCTCTGTGGTTTCATCCTGAAATTGAAAGAAAGACAGCTACTGACTGTTAAAAGCCCCATTCTCTGACAGCAGCAGGAGCTGTGAAGGAAGAGGGAATGTCACCCTAGATGGTCATCTCAGCGGGGGTCTGAACTCCCTCTGCCTCTCCTGCCTGTCAGTGTTTCCCTATGCCTGGTGAAGGAAGTCAGTGCCAGCACTGCCTTGGCAGCCTGCCACCATACGCCACATGCTGGACTGCAGGTGACACACCTTTAGGCCAGGCGCAAACAGCAGCAGGAGGCCTAAGGCTGACAAGCCAACACACCTGCTTTTTACGTGACTCAGAAACATACGAAGATAGACAAGTCCTTCAGTGAGGCAGGAGGAAACCTGGTCCCAGATCCCATCGATCCCTGGCTCCCACCCATCCAGCTGTCATTTCCCAAAAATCCCCAAGGCCTGCTACCTCAGAGAAGTAGAAGGCTGGTCCTTGGCTATGCGTTGCTTGCTTTTGTTTCTTAACTTTTCGTTAAAAATTAGTTCCAGACTAACAGA